TTATCAAATGATAGTATTCAGCATGTGAAATGAATAATATATGAGGTCTGGCTCGTACAAACTCATAAAATCATCATTACAGGGTGATAAATATTCTATATAAAAAGAATCTTCTATACAAATAATAAAGAATAAGTAATCAAATCTTTATATCCATATTGACATATTTTATTTGCTTCAATATACATGTATACATTTAATAATTCTACAAATTCAGTCAGGGGGATCCGACCCCCCCCCCCCCTTCCCCCGAACAGGACATGGATTACTTTTTCCCTAAGCGGGGGACACAAATTCTCTGAATTAGCTTGTTTTCATGAGAATTGCGTGGAGCTCCATATATAACCAAATTCTTTCAAAGGAATACTTGTACAATGTATCTGTGAGAGAATTGTTTTTCTAATATGTTCAGAATCAACAACAAATAAAAATTAGTATAAATAAGGAAAATCTCGTCCAAGGCTTTTTAAAAAATTAAATGATTTTAAAACATTTCATTTCAATTTCGAAAAATTGCTAAAAAGTAAAACAGCCCACTTATTTCAAGTTCTAATGAGGAAAATATTTATGAATAAAGTACCAAAATTGTTTTAAAAACAGTCGATTACGTAATACAGTGGTTGTGGAGTTTCGTTTGAGAAGTAACCATTAGGGCCAAAATGTAATTTTGCGATTCTCTTCTACATTAAAATGAAAAGGGTTTCAATGTTTTCGGTCATAATTTTTAAAAGGATAGTTTTTTGTGTGAAATTTCTGAACGGAATCATCAATTTTGCAAGATTTAACAGTCAACTTAATTTTTCGTTTTAGTCGTATACGGGCAACTGAATCGCGGCGCTAAGAAATAAATTCCTAGCAAATACCTTTGTTTCATATACATGAAGAACGCAAGCGTACTAAACGGTACTTATAAAACAAACACCTTTGCAATTGTCTACAGCTAGGCCAAGGTCTTTTTCCCTCTAATGTTGCTAAAGACAAATTAATATTTTACAACAACGTGAGCAAAGATTAAATTATAAATACATGTAAAACACCTACGATTTTTTGGAAGTTGGAACATTCACTTGCATTGCTACCATCATCGCCGTGTTCATCATCAATCTCCTCTTTGTTCTCATTCTCCTGATTCTTTGGGTATTTTTGAGAGATGGTCGGTTCAACAGAAACTCTGGTATATTTATATCTAGCAACTAAATACTCTGTTAAAGAGATGAAATATTAGAAACTAAAGTAGATATAACTTTTCATTATATTTCACTTTGGTAAAAATTTACGAACATATAATCCATATTGAAAGACCATCATTTTCACTACCATATATCATAAGTAAACCATGACACAAGGGCGTAATTGCTAATTTTTACACCCCGTAAAAAATAATTTAATTAAAATAGTCTTATCAATGAAAATAACAAAATTATTCTTTTCATATTTGACACAAGGCCCTGTGTTTTAAAATTATAGGATTTAATCGTTTAGAGTTTTTATCCTTTAAAATTAAGGTAATACATTTAATTTACTTTGAAGAAAACAAAATAAGTTTCCATTTACTAGATAAAAGGAGGAAAAAGACTAAAACAACTCACTTGAAATATAAACACTTCCTGCAAAGAATAAGAAACAGACAGTATAATACAAAACTCGGTGACTTCGTTTAAACATCGAGACACAAGAATTGTAAATCCAAATTAAAAGGAAAAAGTCTCAGAATTTCTGTCTTCAGAAAGGAAAAATGCACAAATTCGTTGGCGTTACATATAATTTTAGTATGTCAATGAATGGGTATAAGAAGAACTTTTGGGTCTTATATTGACCTATTCCTCTACGATATCTGATATAATGAATTGCCTTTGCTTAGTATACATAAATATATGCCATTTCATGGTTATACTTTACAAAATTGATTTGCTGCAATATAAAGTAATGCGTGTGTATAGTTGCTCAACATTACTATACAATTCCCTGTCAGTTGACTCTTTCGGTGCAATGAGACTTGAAAATGGACATTCACGAGAACAAAGGGATTCTTTGTTGGTTTGTTCTACGTCCATTTCCAAAGTGGACAGTGACCCTTTGGATAAGACAGTATAAATGGAGGTCCCATGTCTCAGTAGGTGCTAGCAAGAATAAGATCCTTCGCTGCTCAAAGACCCTAAATGCCAAATACAGAGCTAAATTTGCAGCCCTCAACTGGCAAGTGGTGGCGTCTCAATACAAGTAAACCGATTCTTGAAAGGACTTTACATACATAAATAAACAAGCAAATAAGCGTACCTCTGCGTTTACATTTCCGAGTCTCGCTATGTACAAGACATTTCAATCAGATGTTTAATTGCATTATACATGAAACAAAATACTGGAAAATAGTTTAAATTTGATTTTTGTCAATTCTTCAAGAGATATCAAGATAGTGGAATAATGATTCATCTCATGATTTCATTATGTAATGATTAGTAAGAAAAAGACATCATTTTCAAAAGATATGCTACTACCAAGTTCCTAATTGATACTGAATGTATTGTCACCAAAATTTGAGCAGTTTTGATTTTTCAGACATTTACATGGCAAAAAAAGCTCTAAGTTGTCATTGCTCTTTAGATTTTGAATGACTGATTGTATGTTGATTAATGTTCATCTCGTGCATTTTTCACTCATATGGAATCGCCGGTGGTCAATGTCCCTCCAGGGCTTCCGTAGGATATTGCATTGTACATGTAATATTTAGTAAACATCATGAGAGGAGTTTTATTTAGCCCTCCCCCCCCCAAAAAAAAAAAATCAAGACAATCACCAGCTAGTACAGTATAAAAAAGACAAGTAAAGCATTTGTGTATTAAAAATATAAAACAAATTTATTTCATACAATAACATTAATTTTATAAATAACAAGAGGCCCATGGGCCTTATAGGTCACCTGAGCATCATGCAACAACTTTCAAATGATTGAATTTGGTTCATGTTTTTAGCTAGATGCTATGGCATTCACAATTTTGAAAGAGGCACCATTGCTAATCATAACTATACACTTAGCAAATGTTTAGTTTGTTTACTTAATACCCATAAGCAGGGTAAGGGAACAAAAATGCATGTCAACTAATCAGTAATATTCAGCAATAATCAGGAGTGCCCCTACCACAAATAAACCCCTGACCCTAGGTCTACACATTGCACAATTTTTGAAAAGGCACACTTGCTTATCAAAAATGTTTGATTAATACAAAGGAGTAGATTTCAAATGATTCATTTTTAGTATATAAGTAGAGCCCCCCCCCCCTCCTTTGGTATCCCAGGGGCCTTGAAATTCACAATTCTAGAAGAAAAGCCCTTGTACATAATAACCATATAAATAGTTCATCTGCACCCCTGACCCTGGGGCCATAAAATTCACAATTTTTGTAGAGACACTCTTGCTCATCATAACTATGTACTTAATTAGTTTATTTAATACTCAGGAACAGAGAAGAAGATTTTTAAAGAAATAATGCATTTTCACTATATAATCAAGAGCCCCGCTCTAACACAAGAACCCGTGACCCTGGGGCCATAAAATTCACAATTTTGGTAGAGACACTCTTGCTCATCATAACTATGAACTTAATTAGTTTATTTAATACCTAGGAGCAGAGAAGAAGATTTTCAAAGAATTAATGCATTCTCACTATATAATCAATAGAGCCCCGCCCTAACACCAGAACCCCTGACCCTGGGGTCAGGAATTTCACAATTTTGGTGGAGGACTCAATGCTGATTACAGTCATACCAACAGTTTGACTGCTTGATGTCCAGGAGTAAAGAAGAAGATTTTTAAAGATTGCACTAATTTTAGTGGGTTTTGCCCCACCCCCCAGGCCCCAGGGAGGGCAGGCACCATGAAATTCACAATTTTTCTTCCCCTTCACCCACAGATGCTGTATGTCATAATTAGTTGAAATTTGTTCAGCGGTTTTAGAGAAGAAGCTGAAAATGTTTAAATGTTAACGCACGACGAACGACGGACGACGACGGGCGAAAACAGATAGCAATAGGTCACCTGAGTTTACTCAGGTGACTTAAATATAGTACAGTTCTGCAGTTTGTTAATATTTTACTAAGAAATAGCATCAATAACCAGAAGTGTTATAACTTATTTAACGCTTTAACTAATTTGATAAACGTATATTTATCTTAAAATTAAATATTTCCATCTTTTTGCTTTTTTCTGATTTCCTCTTTCATTTCCACTTTGTTGCATATCAATGCAGCATTTTAGACTTCAATCTGTTAGAAACGTGATATGACCCTCACAAGAGGTAACAGCCACTTATAATCATTAGAATTAAGACAAAAGGTGCTTTTAAAATATAGACTCTTCGGAGATACAAATATGTAAACGAAATGAAAAAAATGCAAAGTTTTTTAAAAAGTAAGCTTTAAGAGCTGTCGCATGCAAAGGTACTAGACTACAAAAATTCTTTAAACTTACGATAATGATATCGATTTTTTTTTTAAGTTTTTGATACCTTAAATTCATATCAGACAAAAATCTGCCTTGTGTGTGTGTTGGTTACCATAGTCATTTCCTAAAATTTGACAAATAGTATTTTTGCACATGTTTACAGTTTCAGTAGCGTTTGTATCAAAGCAGAAAAGAGACAGTAAATGCTCAAAACTTCAAGGAATTTAGTGTCTCACATACATCACAAAAATAATTTTGAAAACAACATTTTTGCTACAAAATATTGAAATACAATTCTTTTTTCATTCATCTAAATAACAGAGAAAGAAATTTTTAACATATTTTTCATCAGACTGTGTTCAGTTTTTGACATGTTTTCAGCTCTCTGTAACTCATGAGAAATCTTTTAGAAATTCTTCTCACAAAAAAAATTCAGAAGAATAAAGGTTACTATAGTTTTTTTCTATATCCGTCATACTGATATAAAATTTTCAAAAAGTCCATTCAAAACATTATCAACTAAATCATAATAAAGTAGACAAATTACATGTACAGTGTATATATCATGAACACAAGCATCATTTAACACGTAAACCTGAGTGATTTCCCTCCTTTCCAACTTTCATGATAGCTATCAGTTATATAATTACATACAATTAATGTATTGTAAATGGTGCACCTTTCCAACGGATACTTTGAAATATCTCGAAGAATTCTTGGGGGGAGGGGGTATTGGACAACTGTACTTCTAGGACGGAACTCCAGCATTTAATTTGTTGTCTTCTTTTTATTTATTTTTTCACATAATAGATCCTTCAGCATCCTCCGTTGGAAAAGAAGCGTTGCCATATTGTCCCATTAGGTAGTTGAGGCTTTCCATTTGTTTCATCTAAAATGCTACATATCTTACACATGGAATTTAAAAATACTTCATGAATACCAATTTCGTAATATTTGTCTTTTTCTTTAAGGTATTGCGTAAACACATTTTCATCTGCGGCAATTTCTTTAAGCTTCTCTGCCAGAGCTTTTGGTGATGGAAAATCCAAAGCACTTATAAACGTACCTTTTGGTAAATACTCTTTGGCTGATTGGGGGCCATTTATCACAGGTATCACATCTAAATTACCAAAATATAAATTATATAATTTTTCTGTCGAATAGTCATTACATATATTATTTTCAAACGCGAAATAGAACTTGTAGTCCCTAGAAAAGTTTCTCAAACACTCGCTTAAAAATGGAGACCGTTTAAGACATACACGATCACCACAAGTACCGAACATGTCGACTTTGACATATTTGTTCAGTTCTCTGATGTAGTCACGACGGCGAGATGGTACGGGGCAATGTCCCGACATCCAAACCCCAAAGCCTTTTTTCTTCTTAAACACATCTGTGTAATTTTTCACTAACGGTGTTTCTCGTTTCACTAAAGTGCCATACGGCCTGTGTATATCTGAATGTCTACGGTAAGACATTAACCAGTCTAACTTGTCGTCCCACTTTTTCGAGGGCCGATTCATGAAAGCTGGACTTTCCATGGAATTAAATATAAATATTTGCTGAGGTCTTTTGGGTGGGGGAACACCTCCCATAAATGCTTGAGTGAATAAAACAACGTCACTTTTATTTAGATCTCTGCCATCCATTGAAAAAATACAGTTAGGATATTTCTGACATTTTTTTGATTTTGCGTAATTAAAGCTGTTCACTAAATACGAGGGTATATTATGCCATAATATTCTCCATTCTTTGGATGATGTAGACGGGCTTTTTTTCTGGCGTGCGATTGGAAGAAAATGCATTGTAGTGACTGGTGTAAATGAATCGAACAGAAGGAAGAAGAATCCGGTAGAGATAAAGAAGACAACAAATACTCGAACGGAGAGCTCCAACTGCGAAGATCTGAAACGAAAAAAAAAAGAAGATTTGATGAAAAGGAGGGGAAAAATAAAATAAAATTACAGCATAATCACAATGTCAAGTTTTTGTGATTTCCGAACCCATTGGTTTGTGTCGAGTTCCGAAATCATAAAGCCTGGACATTGTGAGAATGAAATTACAAACAAACTCAATATATTGCGTCATATGACATTGGCGCAACTATAAGTCGGTAAATTTTATTTTATTTCTTATATAAATGCGGTGCAACATAATCGGAACTTATTTTATTTCTTATATAAATTAAAGATATTTCAGAAAACGTTATCTAAGTGCTCAGAAACTAACAATGAATTGTTTAAGAAACATTCTGTTTCGAATTGCTTTCTATTTCGAAGGGAATTCAGATTCGAATGCACGCATGTCACGATTATGGAATCACGTACTGTATGTTAGGATGAAATGAGGGGTGTGGGAGGGGGGAATCATAGTTGAATTTGAAAAATACAGTGCTCTCTCTCTCTCTCTCGATCAATCGATCAATGGATCGATCGAAATGATTTAAAGAGATCTTTCCCAATAAAAGTTCTTTAAACTACCTATAGGTAAAATTATGTTCCATAAAAGCAATATATGCATTGCAAGAACTGGAAGAAAGATAACTCTTGTAAATTTTAAATTCAGTTTGTAATATGATTGTGAGTAATAAATTAATGATAACAAAACTACTGTGTAACATGATGTAATTCATGTATATTTATTAAATTGCAATTCTATTTCTAATGTTTCAGTACATCTTTTCACTGCAGTATTTAATGATATTCTTATTATTTAGATTTTTATTTTCAAAAAATGCTTTTTCCCATAGACTTCAATGCAATCTTTGGTAATTAATTAATTAATGCTTAGTTTGTGAATTTTTTTAAACTTTCTCACGGGCAACCCTTCCCTACTATAGAATGCTTTAATTTAATGTCAGAGTATTATGTACTTGATGGACATTTAAGGATAGAAAATTTGGTCCTATTAGGAATGTACATCCTTAAAATTAGATTTTTGATTCGCTCCAACTAGATCGCTACAGTAGTAACCTAGTGGGAGCGGATCAAAGATTTAGTTTTAATTTGATTGACTCTGTACCCTATCTCCAACTAAGTTTTCAAAAGTTTCTATAATTGAATTACTTTTGGTTCATGTTTATAATAATTCATAAATTTACCGGTAATTATATGATTTATAAACAAAAATTATTTTGGAGGAAATAAAAAGATAACTCAATATTTTTTTGTAAAACTAAGTCTTGTGCTCCGGGGGGTATTACCAGGGGGGGGGTGTTACTGTAAAAATCAATATTTTTAATTAAATCGGAAAATAGTTTTAACTACCCCTTATTAATTAGTGCTGAAAATAGTTAATTTTAAAACCCTAACTCCCTAAACTTAGGATCTATTGTAACGAACATCCTCATGCCCTCACCATAGATTTTTTAAAAATTTTTAACTAACAAGTTGGGCCTTAAGGTGACTAGGTGGCACCTAGACAACACACACCACCACCACCCCACCACACAACCACCCCCGCCATTTAAGGTTTAAGCCACATTTTCCTTATACTTGACAGTAATAATAGAACACTGAAACTTTTTCGATGAAATTTCCTCAGTGAGATGAAGACTTGATGCTATTGACTAGCTCTGGCCTTATTGTCGATGTATTCCTGCATTATATTCAACACCATGTAGTTATCTACTCAGTGTACAAGTTCATTAACCTTAATCTTATTATATCCAAGATTATATTCTATTGATCGTCTCGCTCTATACATGTACATTTATGCAGCACAGCATTCATTTTAACTTTAAGCAAAAAAACATAATAAAATTTCATTTTAAACCTCGCGTTCAGGAGTTCATCGCTAAAAATCTAACGGGATATACATATATTAAGTGAAAATGACTCTCCATTTATTATTGCTTAGTTACAAGTTATAATACAAGCAAATATAACAAGTGGAAACATGGGTACATATGCTTGTTAAATACGCAATATATTCGTATAATCATAAGTTCATGACTTGTTCAACTATATAAACATGATATTTTATCCAAATAAGAATAACAAAATATCCAAAATAGAGACTTTGTCGGCAAGTGTTCTGCTTCTAAATCAGCAATTTTACAGTTAAATTGAAATAGGAACAGATGTCCATACACGTTGCAACGGGCTCCCCTCCCCCACTTTTTTGTCCCAATATTACTCATACTATTGAAAATGTTAATTGAAAGGCTGGTCCCCCCCCCCCCCCTTGTACAACAATAAAGTAATAAAAGAGAAATGTAGTATTGTATTATGCAAAAAAAATGGTACTGAACGAAGTTAGCTTTGAAAAAGAGTTGGGATTTTCGAGTTAGAGCGATGTTTTTTTTCTTTTGCAGATTATTATTTTAGAGATGTTTAAGGCATTCCTTTATAGATTGAACCTGGGTTTCAAATACATTGTAACGGTGGGTCCCAACATTTTTATTTATTCATTTTTTTTGGGGGGGGGAGGGGGTAAGAAGTGACACAAATTATTAAATTAAAAATAAGAAAATTGCATTGTTCAAACTACAGATTTTTTAAAAATTGAGATCTTAAATGAATGTAAAAACTGTTTACATTTATTCTTTCTTAAATAAGAACCCTTCGTTTCTAATGCTGGCGTTTAAATACGCTATACAAATATCGCAGCTACATCGTAGCCTTACGAGTTCAGTAATTATTTAATTTGGCGAAATGTTCAAAGACAGGGAGTAGTTTACTAGGAATCGAATTCTAGCACAGAAATGGCGCTTAAATACACTACACAAATACTAGTATTTCAGTCTAAGTATCATTTTTTGGCACAGTCACAGTGTTCAAGTAGAAAATACAATGTAAAGTTTTTACTTTTTGTACTGGGAAAAAAAGAAAACAATATGCAAAATGCTCACGGAAAACTTTTTTGTTTTTATTTGCGATGACAGTGTGATATGAGCTGCAACTTTGATGTCGGAATTTTTTGTTGCAAAAATTGTAATTAACTTCTTTAATAATAGAAAATAAGAATATTTATAAACTTCTGTCGTGCATATTTGCGATGAAAGAACTAAACAGTACGACATTTAACACTGGACACGACATAGTCCAGACTTTTTACTACCATTTCTCATTGTGATATCAAAAATATTTTTATATCACTTGGTGGGATTTTTTAGCAGTATCGCAGGATCTTATGTTGAGCTCACAAACAACACAACTTCTCAAGATATGGAGTCTTAAATCTCAGAATCCGATGGGAGAATGGTGGGATTTTCAGTCCCTATTATCAAACTATTCATTTAGATTGAAGCAAAATTATATGTATATTATTGGCGTCCTTTACAATATACATTTATTGCATGATCTTAGGGAAATATGAAGATTTATTCAGCCAAGATGCTGATTTCCGATTCCCACCTACATTTTACACACTCATTATTCAATCAGTTTAATCCACATCTGAATGATTAAAAACAAAGATTTTTTTAAAATCTGCAGTTTTGAGAATTTTATTTTGCTTTTAAAATGTGCTATTACGATAAATTTGTATATAATTTAAACCTTGTTGAGTTAAACTAAAAAGAAAGAATTAATTAAATTGTTGTAAAAAGTTATTTCTGTGCAATGGAATGCATAGTATTATATAATAATTAAATAATATCACACTGGTAAAAGCTTGACATGTATAACATTTTAATTACATTTTAAGTTCGTAATAACAATTTGGAGCCATCCAAGGACGTATTGAAAATATTTATTTATACAATGAAAAGTTTCGCCTGAGTGATTTTCAAATGTTGATCTTTTATACATCTGTATAAAGAAAGACACGGTCAGTGGTCAAGAAAAATGAATATTGACCTAGGGCAGTGGTCATTTTAAAACCAATGACTTATAGTTACGCTAAGCAAGAAGGTTTATTGACTGAATATCAACATAACGACAAAACAGAAGTATTTGATCTCCAGAAAAATCTTAGAAACCCCAAATTAAGGTCGACATGATTTGTGCCTTTATATAACCTGATGTGTCAGACACATTTTGACATTTTATAAACATATGGTTTAGGTTGGCATGTTTTTGTTTTCTTTGGATGGGGCCTAACAAGAATCATTTTAAGCCTTTTTGATCCGTCTTGTCCCATATAATTCAACCTTTTCACCTAGCTCAAACATTTTCGTCCCCACAGGCACCCGAAGTTACTTATTTTTTCTTTAAAAAAATATACACATACCTAATATTATTAGGTATGTGTATATTTTTTTATTAAAAGAAAAATAAGTTACGTCAGGTTCCTGTGTTCATCCAATGTTTTCCATTTTAAACTATAAATAACAAACCAAAAAATCGTACAATTGCGATTTTTTCGAAGGGGGGGGGGGGGGTGTTACATTTACAAAAAATAATACAGCCGGGTTGGGGGTGGGCCAAATAAATGTTGTAAATTCATTCATCATCAGAATTTTGATACCATGTCACAGTATAATTTCAGACACAAGTTTAAATATATTAATTTAAAATGAAAAAACAAAGAGAAAAATGGCTTGCCTTGTAGCGTTTGTGTGTGCTTTCTTTCCACTTTCCTCCATTGTTAATGAAAGAAGGGTTTGATGTATGGGTTGCTTCTATCTGAATTTCATATAACTGAAATAAAAATATAGAAATATTACAGTACGTGACCATTAATATAGGAAAAAATCTACAATTGCCCTGTATCGTCTTTTTCTATACAACAAAGAAATGATGTCAAAATCTCCATTCTAACATGTTGACAGTGCGGAGCGAAAGATTTTCATCCAGTCAATTTCTTTAATTTATAAAATAAAAACTGTTTTAGCCTTGTTTTTACAGTGATCGAATATTAGATCTTGTAATCTACTTGACAGCATGTACATACCTATATATAAGAGACAGTTATATAAAATCCATTCAATAATACATGTCTGTATGTGTTGCATCCAGATTCTATAATTGATCCCAGTATTCACCTGTACAATATATCTGACCATAGGATCGATACAGAATATACCTGAATCTTCCCATGATTCCCTCGTGTCCAGTGTTAAATGACCAATAGTTCAAATATAGGGATCAGGGTCTGAATGAATGTGCAATGTGGC